CCCCATGGCGGGCCACACGGGAGTCACCCGCTGGCCTTGTGTTTGACACATGATCTATAGAGACATTCCATGTCTTAGAAGAAAATCTACAAAAAGCAAACAAAACAGTCTCCTCAAAGATGAAAAACATAAAATGTTAAAATATCAAGACCGATAATAATAATCTGATGTAGCAAAATGATGAACTTTGGGTATTTTTAAAATCTATTCCTGAGAGTTTTATCTCCTTTACTTCTGAAATGCATGAAAACTTTTTGCTCTGTAATATGAAAAGCATAAAAATCAAAGACCTTGGCAGGCATTAAAAATGAACCATATTCTGTTTTGTCCTCAGACAGAACCGATGGACCAAACGAGGACTTGCAGTGGTGCCCACCAAGTTTGGCATCAGTTTTACAGCCACCTTCCTAAATCAGGTCTGTGCAATTATATTTCTAGCTGCTAAAATCAAACGGTTTATTTCAAATAATAAAAAGATTTGATTGGGAATGTTTGTCTACAGGCCGGAGCTCTGGTTCATATCTACAAAGATGGCTCTGTGCTGTTGACTCATGGAGGGACTGAGATGGGACAGGGACTCCACACAAAGATGGTCCAGGTACAAAACTGAAAAAGAAAGTCAATGATTTCTACATCAATTCTGAAAAAGCTGCATGTAATATACAGTATACAGGTGCTGGTTATAAAATTAGAATATCATGAAAAAGCTGATTTATTTCAATAATTCCATTCAAAAAGTGAAACTTTTATACTATATTCAATCATTACACACTGACTGATATATTTCGTGCTTTTTTAACATTGATGATTATAACTGACAACTATTGAAAACCCCAAATTCAGTGTCTCAGAAAATTAGAATAAAACCAACACAAAAAATAATTTTTAGAAATTTTGGCCAACTGAAAGTAAGAACATGAAAAGCATGAGTACATACAACACTCAGTTGGAGCTCCTTTGGCCTGTATTACTGCAGCAATGCGGCGTGGCATGGAGTCGATCAGTCTGTGGCACTGCTCAGGTGTTATGAGAGCCCAGGTTGCTCTCATAGTGGCCTTCAGCTCTTCTGAATTGTTGGGTCTGGTGTATTGCATCTTCCTCTTCACAATAACCCATAGATTTTCTATGGGGTTAAGGTCAGGWGAGTTTGGTTTAAGGACCAAGGTTTTTAAACCAGGTCCTGGTAACGTTCATTGTTTGGTTCCCGCCCTGGCTTCCTGTCCTGTACCTGTTGTTTTCGTTTTGTCAAAATGTCAGCTTTTGTTTTCTTTAACGAAGTTCTTTATTTTGACTCCTCGAGTCGCGTCTGCATCCTAGGTCCAATTTATTTTTTGATCAAAGTATTTTTTATTATTTTTTAACATAACGCACAACAAAAAACAAACAACAAAACAGCAAAAACACAAACACCCGAAATCCCACCCCTTCCTATACCGGATCTACTGAAACAACAAAAATCGATCTTGTATTAATACAAGTGATACAATAAAAAGGTTTGTGTACAATGAAACAATATTTAACCTTTACACAAAGTTATCTGCCGAAATTTTTTCTACATAAGATATAAATGGTTGCCAAATGTCACAGATCCCTCAACAGTATATCTAATCTTCTCTAAATGAATGTAAGACATAACTTCTCTTAACCAATTACCATATACTGGAGGATGTGGAT